GAGCTATTCGAAGAAATATTCTGTTCATTTGTTCTCTCAGGGTGTACTCCGAAATTAATCGGACGAATTTATTGGAAATTAATTGCCAGGACGAAATAAAATCTTCTGTCGGGGAGTAATATTTTTTCCCGCGAATTCGGAGGGTTTTCCGGACCGTGGAAAATATTTCGAAACGACGTCGAGTGGATATCGCTGTCGCGGGGTTGAAAAAGAAAGCCCAAAGGGAAAATTGAAAAATTGTCATTCGCTGGAGGGCGTCGACGCGGAAGCGCGGGGAAACTTTGCGGAGCAGGGGTTGAATAAACTATAAAAGAGGCGGGGGAGAAAGGGAGACCGCGAGGTAACAAGCAAATAGGGATGCAAACAACTTAAATGGAAGACAAACACAATTATCCTTCAACTCGGCTGGATATTACTCCGCGAAGTGCAAGGGTGCGTTCAGGGGGTACGCACGCTGCATTATTTTCAACCCCGAGTGCCAACGGAGCGGAAGGCAAACCCCTTCCGAATTATTCTGTCCTCCTTGAGACCGACAACAAATCCTCGGACTTCGATTTAACCACGAAACAATTGTAATAAATAAGAATTCCCCACCCCAACAAATAACCCCCACCGCGATTCTCAGGCATTTCAAAAGAATCTCCAAGTGATAAATAATATTAATTAAATCTTGGATTCGTCGTACGACCCTCCACGTGCTGATAGAAGAAATAAAAAATAGGCGCTAGTGAAAATAATTAGGAAAATTAGATATTAAGGTAACGGAATTGTAACAGGGGAATATTGAGAGAAATTAAAAATGAAGGTAGGAGATGATGAAGTTACTGGGGTAAAGATGGGGGGTATTGAAATTGGGAAAACTGGAGATTAAGGAGAAAAGATGATCGTTGAAATGTCATCTCGCAAAGAGGGCGAATTTTCGAAGGATTGGGAAAATAGCAGTCTGGAAATAAGGCGCAGTGGGTATCGCGGTTGAGGGTCGAACAAGACGAACGACTCCTCGAAGTGCTTCGGAAAATGTTTCCCTCGAGTGAAACCGCCGATAAGTGCGAGATCATCATTCGGAGGAGAGTACTTTTCCGAGGGGATGTCGGGGGTATCGGAAAAAGATTGCGGGGAGTATATCTCGGGTATTCTCTGTAAACGTTCCTTTCATGGCCACCGCGGTTTGTACCGATAACACGATATCAGCAGGCAGGAGGGGAGAAGTCAGGGGTGGTGTCGGACGAAGAAAGAAATCCTGGAGATAGAATCGCGCTAAGGGTTGGTCCTCTTTCTGGACTCCCTGGATTTCCTAAGACTCCTTATCCCCGTGGGCACCGTAGTTTCCCCCATCCCCCTGGCACACCCCCAAAAACATCCCTAGATAACCAGAGATATCCCCGATTTACCTTCTGCGCCCCATCTCGGATCGATATTCCCGAAAATCTCTCGACCAACCCTCGGAAAAAAATTAACCCACCAAAGAATTTCCATAAAAAGCGATAGAGTTTAATTTTAATTTTTTTTTTTTTTCAATTACCGCGACGTGCATTAAATTTCCTTCTATTTCAGGGGAGCCTTTGCGAGAGGCGAGTACGTTGGAATTTTCAATAAATTTTCGTCCATTAAAAAAGTGCGGAATATTCATTAATTATGAAACACCGAGCGAGGTGTACATGGAGTGGCGTCCTATATTGACTGGGAATAAAGAGGGAGTGGTTTTTTTTTGTTTATCATTTTTATTTAACCGCGATGGGCGCGTATTTACCTCGGTGCACCGAGCTGCAATGAAAATTGCATCGCGCGATGTCGCGAGTAATTTCTTTTTCTTTTCTTCTTTTTCTCCTAATAATTCAAGCCGAGGAATACTTTTGGGATGTTTCCTCCTCGCAGAGAGTGGGAAAGGTACACATTTCGAAAAAGGACGAGGCATTCCCTGGGCCCTTAATTACCGGTGAATTATCACCCCCTGGGAGGGGTGGGGGTCGAATTAGCAGCTACCGTAATTACACTTCCGGTAACTTACTTCCCTTTTATCGTGCCAAGCTTTCCCTCGAGAGTTTGTCACCCCACGTGGAAGACTTCGAATTTTCCAAACGAGGGTTAAAACGAAATCCGGTGAAAGAAAATTCATCCCTTGAATGAAGAATAAACTAGGTGGATGGGAAAGCAGTCTAAAAAATCCCGAAAAAGGGAAAGGAAAAATACAAAATCCCCGCGTTTTCGAGAATTTCCTTCCAAGGAAGATAAAGAGGGAGAGAGGGAACTCCGAGATTTCGAGATTCCCTTTCGTCTAATTTTTTTTTTCTTTCCTTGTCTTCGTCCTTTTTTCCTTCTTGGCGGTCCAAAGTGAGAGAGCACAGCAATTTCCGCCGGCATTTCTGTCGGTTCAGCAGAGATGGGAGGGATTTCCTTCTTTTCCGGAGTATCGTCCGACCTCGATCGAGTTCCTCGGGAAAAGGGCGAAAAAGGATGCAGCTCCTGTCGGGGAGGTTCGAGGTCCTGGGGTGGTTTCTGCCAAAGAGACGTAACCCCGGTAACACGGCGTCAGCCGGCAGGGTGATAAAAAACCGCGGAAAGGGGTGAAGGGAGGGACATGTAATATTAGTTCATATAGAAGGGTAGAGATAGAAAAAGAGAGACAGAGGACACGTTTCCAGGACGTGGAGAATAATGCTTGACGATGGCGACGAATTTCATCGTTCGAATCGACACGAACTTTACTGAAGTTGCAGTTCCCTACTTTCCCATTTTTGCTATATGCAAGGAAAATGTAACAAAAATGATAGGCAAAATGTTTGTATACATCATCGTAACCGTAAAAGGAATCGGTTAATTTACTAACAATTTTTTTAGATTACAGGGCTTTCGAGGTGATACAGGATAAGGACCTCTGGAGGACGTTGATGGGGATTCATATCTAGGAAGCGAAATAAACGAATTGCGAGCCGCTTTTCGGGGTGAGGCCGACAAATCAAGGGAGGGTTTGTAGAAGGGGTAAGTAACTGAATCTCTCGACGTACGTGACTTCGTTAAATAAATCTGGTCCTTTTACAACGTCGTTCGCGAGAGGAGGCTCGACGGGACCCAATGTATCAAGAGGGCCGCGCTTCGTGACACTTCGCCTATTTTCCCGCCATCCGCGAAAACGGGGAAAACGCTCGCCCAAAGTGTCTAAAGTGTCTGAAGCGTCTGAAACCCTTCCACCCCCTCCAACGGGACGTTCTCTTTGTGCCGGACCCGGGTCCCTCGGGACCTAGGGGGAGGAAAAGTCGAAATTCCGCAAAACTCGTAGAAATTTTGCGAAATTCCGCCGTGGCTTGTGCCCTCCAAGGGAAATCGTAAAAGAAAAATTCCTGACTTTTTTTCGCTCGATGTTTTGAGTTGATCAAACGCTCATTTCTTTTTCTACGGTAATGGAGGAAATTTGGATCCTTGGCGTTAAGTACTCATAGCATCTCATTGAAGCTCAAAGTGCGATTCGCTTATCATTCGACACTACGAGTTTCTTGATAGGTTCCAAATCTCAAGAATGAATACATTGGCTCGGATTAATTTCAGAATACGACTTTGAAAATTCGTAGACATTGGAACAACTTAAATAATTTAAATACTTAAAGATGTGAAACGTCGAAAAATTTGGGAACGATTATCTTTTATCTTTCAGTAATTATCCTGAGCGAAGGTAAGACACGTGCCAGGAGTCTCCGGGTTTTTCAGATCGCGTCAGCTTAATGAAATAGGATAAAGTGCCGGGCGATAAAGGACGAGAGGGAATAAAGGAAGTCGGAGGTTATTGTCGTCGATCCTGGAGTGAGTCTGGCTCGGATGCGCCGTGACAAGAGAGTCTGATCGGGATTGGATCGACGAGTCCTTCCTCTCTCGTCTTTTTATTAGCCGCGCCGGAAGGGGGCAGAGGGCTTTTCCGACCAGGCAATACCATTAAGCAAGGAGCCCTCCTAAACTTCGCAAACTCAATCCCCATTGAACTCTCCCCCTGTGCCCGTCCCCCCTCACCTTTTTTTTACTTTGAATTCGTTGTACATTATTAATTTGACGAACTTGATTAATTTATTTCTCTCCTTGTCTCCCCAAAGCCGTGTTTAATCAGATGAATTAAAACGATTGACCAGAAAAAAAAGCAGAGTGGATTTAATAATTTTTGTATAGATTTGTTTAATAGTACAAGGTGGAGATAGTGATTATTTAATTTTTTTTTGTTAAGGGGGATATTGTTAAATTACGTGTACATGGGAGAGTAGCTTAATCCTCTTAGGGGAGGTCTTCCACCATTTGTGTCGCCCACTGTACGATTTCTAGTTTCCGAGCTCCCAGCCGATCTCTTCCCCTTTCCAAGAAGGGAATCGGAAAAATCGGGGACTCCAGGGGGGAATTTCGAGGCGGGCAAAGTTTGATCCCGAAACTCCCGAGGGAGCGGACGCGTGGCTGCGGGGAAACTCGCGAAAAGCGCAATGGCCGCCCGGGGGGCCGAGTGACAAATGCAGGGCGCGACTCGGAAAATTGGATTTTTTTGCAAACCGCGGGCAAACCCGCCCCAGAGCCCCGACTCGATCGATCGAAGGGGATGTCTATTGCACGGGGGAATAAAGTGTCCCGGCGTTTGTCCTCCCCAAGAATCCCGGAACCCCTCTCTCCCTCTGCCCTGCCTTCCTCGAGGCGGGGGAAATGAAATAAAAATTCATATTTACAAATATTAAAATTCCCCCTAACCTCAGCTACCCTCCATGTACACGCAAAAGGGTATCTATTGTTTACACACTATTGAAACGAAACAGCCTAGTCTCGGATTACAAAAATGTTGTCATTACTTGAATACTCTTTGTCGTGACGAATTTCACGTTGAAAGTGGACACTAATTTTAAAGTTTTGAATTAAAATCTTTGACACTTAAAACAAAGGAGTGAGCCTTTTTATAATGTTTTTTTTTTCTTTATCGTGATCAGTTTCATTTTCAAAGTGAAAATTAAATTGAAGCTCGTTAGAAATTCAAGACTCACATGGCGCTGCGAGTGTCGGGGATGTCCCGGTTACTGGGAAGTCCATCCGAGGCCTCCTGGTTGAACTTGTTCCTGAAGTAGGGATCCTCTCCCGCTTTCAGTCCTCCCCTGGACACGTACCTGGAATCCCGAGGGAACAAACACTTCACCTCTTCCCACTTGATGCTCAGCCCTTCGCTATCACGAGTGATAAGCGCCGATCGAGCCCCTTGTCTTTTAACCGACCCCCCTCTTTCTTCCGGAGTCAAGAAGGGGGGATAATCGTAAAAATGAGGGGTACATGCCCTAAGAAAAAAAAAAAAAAAAAAGGCATCGAACCAAAGAAGTATCTCTTTGAATATCACCAAAGGAATATTTTGTAAACTCAAAGAATAATTACTGTGACTCGAATTAACTAAAATTGTCATAATTCCGAAGAAACGTTGCATCCAATTAATTCCAGTTAGAGTTAAATAATTATCCTGCGAATTAACAGAATATTTCTTTGTTTCTGTGACATTTCTTTTCATAGGGTGGAGGTGGTTTTTTCGATGGGTGGCGATTTTTGGATGTCGTTGGAAAATCTTTGACCCGGGGTGAAATTTTTGTTTTCCCTTAGCGATATGAAACGTAACTCACCCTTGCTCGTCGAAATAGTTCCAGGTCACCCTCGGGTCGGGGGTGGGCACGGAGAGGAGCTCCGAGGACATCACCATAGCTGTGCCATCGGTGTCCACGTAAGAACCGGAACTTCCGCCGGAAAGGGCCAACGAGGCCGGCTCTTTCAGCCTCAAAGCTCTGTTTTCGTTCTGAAAAATTCGAAAATCCCGGAAATAAAAAATCCGACATCAAGAATATATGAAATATTAAAAGTCATCCCAACAGGACGTGGAACATTAAAAATCACGCCAATAATAATCACATCAAGTGTCTGAAATCTCTGATATATCCTGGGTCGGAAATCAAGAGTGGGATGTAAAGAATTATGAAATCAAAACCTGGCAGAAATGAGATATCAATGTTAGTGGTGAAATATGAAGAATTAGAAATCCAATAGGGGATTTAATTAATTCCTGAAATTCTAGATTTTATTCCAGGGTCGAAGGAGGGGCAGGAGGCATTTCGAAATATTAATTCACGGATCGGGGCGCATATTAAACCGGAAGTGCAGCCGAGCTGTCGGGGGTGCGGCAAGCTGTTGCATCCGGTTTTCAGGGCACGGCATTGCACCGAGGTGCATCCTGCTGGATAAAACTTGATAAACCCCCCGAGAGGCTTCGAACCGATTCGTTATCACCCCTCGACGATTTATCCGGATAACGCGGCGCGGCACGTCGTTTATCTCGATAACTCGATCCGTCCGTTCATAGATCATCGATTTTCGCTCTGGTGAATTCCTCCGCCATTTCTTCCTCTTCGCATACCCATTTTTTTTATTTTCCTCCTCGTTCTCTTTGAACCTATACCTTCGCTAAGAAAAAAAAAAGTCATTTAACCATAGAATTATTTTGCTAATTCAAAGGATGATTATTTTATTCAAATAACCTCGATTAAATTGGCTGCAACCTTTCTCCGGAACGATGGCAATTAATTTCAGTTTGAGAGAAATATTTATTCTTTGAATTAAGAAAATATTTCTTTGGTAGAATAACATTTTTTCTTTGCAGTGTGCCTTTAGTCTGTATAAAAAAGTCGGAGCAGCACAATTGCAGATTCGAATTGATCGATCCCTTGAAAGGTTGCAGAATTAATCCTTCTTCGAATTTCGCCGTGTAATGGATTTCTTTATTTCTCTATTGTTATATTTTCTTTCTATACTGATTTGTTTTTTTCTATAGTATTTCTTGATTTACCGATTTTTATCCGAGCCGCGTTAAATCGGGACATTCGCTGCAGCCTAAGGGGATGCAGGAATGAATTGATTTGCAATTGGTCTCGGAGATTGTAAAGACCGTGAAATCGGAGTCGAATGATACCTCGAAGTCTCGTTTACGAAATACTTTTCGCAACGAGCAAGAGATCAGGCCGGATATCGAATCGGTTTCCTCGGGGCCGTTTTAAAGCGCTTTAACGACTCCCTCAATAATTACGGTAATGCGCCATTTTCCGCCGTAATCGGTGTTATCAGTGCCGCAATCGTGCCGTAACGTCGGGTCTAATAACTCGCGATTGCTCAATGGCGGACGATGAAATCATTAAAGTCTCCATTAGAGAGATTACGCGTCATTTAATCAGCTCGAGCAGATGAAGAGGATGTCCCGTTTTTCATATCCCTATTTCATACACTCTTTCTCTATGTTTATAAAATCGATAACTGAATATTTCCGTCCGAATTTAGAGTATTTGAGAATTAGTACCGGGAAACGTTGAAAATGTTGAGATTATTTACGCATAGGAAGAGAATCATCCATGGTTCGACTTTTGACAATGCGACGCGAGTCGCCTTTATTGGCCAGCGTGTCCTGATTAATGTCCATAAAACAGAGCGGAGGCGAAATGAAGGTTTTTTTCTTCGCCCTCTGTGCAATTTTAAATGCAGCTTTGGACGGCAGGAATCGCAGCCGGCCTCAAAGCTTTAATTACGGAGCTTTTCGAGGTTCAAGTCGAGGCTCGCACAGGGAGCACTCGCGGCGGCCATTTTTACCGTCCGTATATTCAATTCGGGGGAAGGAGAAATTATTCAAAATTAAAAAAGGCCAATTTTAGAAGCGACCCACATTCGCTTCTCATCCGCCCGGTACCTCTTCTTTATAGATAACCTCCCCGAGAAAATGTTAACGTCGGATGATCGATTAGGGAGGACTTCGAAGGGTGTCCGATTTCCGAATTTGCCGATTCTTTATTTCTTTTTATTTCCCAGGGGGTTGGTAGGGCCGTAACTCAGGGATTCCTTGGCAAGGGAGGGCTCCTTTTTTTCGATTCGCTTTGTTATTTTCGTCCGTTCCGCCGGGGAGGAGTTTTCTCCAATTTCCATTTGGCGAGCCCCGAGGGAGGTCGGGGGTGCGCGTGAGTGCGAGAGAGACCGAGCGATCGGGCGCGCCGTGGGAGCGAGTGAGAGGCAACGAGGAAGGCGGCCACCCCGAGAATATTTCCTGCACGCCGGATCGGACCTCTCTTCCTCTCTCTCTCGTGAATTATGAGGAGATTTGCATAGAAACCGTCCGTGGATTCGGCAAACCCGGCATTCGGTTGGTCCAAAGGTGGACAGCTGACCCATGGACATACTCCCCGACATTAAATCCGCGGCGCGTCCACTCGCGAGCAATTATTTGCCCTGGTGGCCCATTAAGGGGCGTCGATTTCCCCAATCGGATTTTCTTGTTTATGCTAATCCGTCAATTTTACCCGGTTACACCGATAAATGTAATCTCGCGCCCCGGCAACCGCGACACCGGGTGGATTCCCCTAAATCATGCAATTACCAATACCGACGATTTTCTCACTTTCCGGGGAATTTCGAGTAAACTTCGAGCGAATTTCGAGTACGACTGTAAATGGCGACATAAATGGTCGCGATAAGCGGCGAGTATGATTACTGAATTAAGCTTAATTAAAATCAGAAATAAAAATTGTGAAAATGTAAGTGATAAGAATATTGCGATAAGCAGCGAAGGTATTTATACCCTCGAGGTTTTACTTGATTCGAATGATTTAATGTCGGGAATAATAATAGTGAAAACGTGAATGAAGGGAATTTATGTGATGAATGATAGTAATAAGCAGCGGATACTGTTACGAGCGCGAGGTCTTATTTAATCAGCAGAAACGGTGATGCCGATCGAAGTTCGTTAAACCCGTAACTCTATACACGACGAAGTTCACGGTCTCAACGGAAGTCAATTGTCAGGACTACCGGGAGACAACCCGAGGCACTTCCGGCTTCCGGTGCACGGTCCGCTTCGCGTGTCATTTCCGAGCAATGAAAACCGGAAACGCCGGAATTAATCCGAGACCTGCCCGTCATGAAAAGGTGCGAAACGGAAAGGAAATAAAGGAAGTAATGAATGAACATTAATTAAAGAATTCCAACACTAAACGGAATGTCAATTAAATAGAGAAATATATTAATTTAAATATTAAGCGTTGCGAAAATTGGGGAGGTTGAAAAGGAGGGACCAGGAAAAGAAAATCAGCAGAAAAGTTTGCCACCCTTTGAGCTAACGATCCGCAAACAATTAATTAACCGGAAGGACGCAATCGGATAATGGGCTTTTTTGCCCCTTATCATTCCCATTCGGCTTCATCGGAAACTTTTCGATTCTATGGTAGGATGGAGTTCTGCAGGTACAGAGGGACAATGACACTGCCTATAGTCATTCGGATATCTCGGCACAATACGTCGCCAATCAGCAGAGGGCCTGAGGGCTCCAGGAGAAAGGATCCTTAATCTTTCATCAATTCCCTTAATTAACCGGCAACAATAGCTACTTTCCCCTGGATCCGGCCCTCTCCCGGGGAGGAAAAGCCAATCGGCGAGGGGTTCCGCGGCTCCAACGGAAATCCCATCGTAGCGGCGGAATTAAAACGCGATTCCGATTGGCTGATCATCCTCGACGCGGCGACGCGCCGCGCTCGGTGCGACACTCCACGCGCTCGATTAAACATTTTTCAATGAATTATTACGGGTTAACGATGCATCGTAGAAAAAAATTCCATAGGACTTTTCGACTCGGTTTACATTTCCAATTCGAGGTACTTTAACGTTTGTGGGTCGTTTTCTCGCGTTCGGAATGTAGGGTGAATTTTTTTTCTCTCTCTCTTTTTTTCTTTTATTGTTCCGGTTAATTCCGCAGCGGAAGCTGCCGTGTCGGCAAGATCTCTGGAGCCCCTCGGAAGGGAAGACAATTGACAGGGTATTAGCAGGTGCCGGGGGCTGTGAAGGGGTGCGGCTTACTCGCGGATGATTGAAAATTGAAACCGAGTGCTGGCTCGAAACCACTCCCGGAGCATTGTTCCCGTATCCATCGGGAGTCTCTCCCGAGCCTGCCTTGTTATCCCGGGATAGGCGCCTATTCCCGAACGCCGTCGTCCTCGGATTTCGCAATCGGGATTCCGGCTGAATTGCGCCTACTCCAGACCACGGTTTCCGATTATGCGAATCGGGACCCGTCTTCCTCCAGGACATGCCAGAGTTCGAATCTTCCCCGGTTCGCACGTCGCGAGTTTTCCCATTTTTTCCACAATTTTCCGTTGGACCTCAAACATTTTTGCCCAGCAGTGCGGGAGAAGAAGAAATTATAAAATTGGGGAGGTCACAGTTTTCCCGGTCAAGGAATGGAAAAAAGATATCTGGCAACTTGTGGCATTGCGAGATATTATGCAACCCCTGCCTCATATAGATTTCTATGAATTATGCATTTTGACAATTTATTTACCAGAAGCCTATCAATCGGCTTTACGATACCAGTGATCGCCATTAACTTCGAAATTCGTGGGCAGATAAAGCGTTAATAAATTATACGACTTGGCCAACCTGGAGGGAAAGTGGATTTCGGGAATTTTGAAGACTTCGTATAATTCGAGACTAGGAGGGTGAATAAAAAATTGCTAAAAAATCGAGGAGACGGGAAACAAAATTCGGAGGACATGGGGCGGGAAAAGGGCACCGCTCGGAACACGTGGAATTACGAAAAGTGACACGACTCCACGAGAACCAACCCCCCGAGAGCTTTCCCGTGTAGCCGGTGCACCCCTAATGTATATTTACTGTCGGCCCGTTACTTTCTTCCCCTCACAGAATTTCTTCTAGCATCGAGTGCACTTTTCGCCGCATTTGGGTCTCCCGAAAAAAATGAATGTCTTGAGAGTA